CGTACCCACTGTATATATATATATATATATATATATATATATAGTGGTGAATTTTTTTTGTGGTTGTTTATTTGAAGGGGAGGGTAATTATCTATCAGTTTACTAGCCTATATTTTTGATGTTATAGTAGTCTGATCCATATCAATTTGGAAAACACCAATTTTTGGAATATTATACCAGAATATGTCCTTTCTCAGTTGAGAGGTTTGAATTTTCTATTGTTAAGTAGCCTAACTACAGTATTGAGAAGATCCGTTGCTCTCTCTCATTTCCACAAACAAGCACTAATAGGTCTATGATTTTTCAAACACAATTTTTCTTCAACTAATTTCTTCATTTGGAATAATAAGAATATCTGCTATAAACATAAGTCCCTATTTTTTGAAAACTGGTTTAAGAATGGTTTCAATCGAGTCAATTATTTAATCAGGACTTGTTTAGGCTACTTATCAAACATTTCTCTCTCACTATAATTTTCCTGTTTCTCCAAAACAGTTTGCCATTGAATTTGGTGCTATCCCGAATGGTGTCATTGTGTTATTTAAGGGCTATAATTGTGTAATTATCCCCCAATTTTTCTCTTTCAAGAAGAGAGATATATATATATATATATATTAAATCTTTGCCTACCTCATGTAACAAAAAGGCAACTAAAACTTTGAATGTATGCTCACTTTTTGCTGTTTTTGTATAATTGTTGTTTTGTAGAAAATATTGTTTATTGTTGTGATCTGTTTATTTTTCCATTTGTTAACTGAATTGTTAACAATTAAACACAATAAAAAACAGCCTAATGTGACACTTTATTGTAGTAAAGATAAACCCATAAAGCATATCATATTTATTTTTTTTTTTTAAAGAGAGAGATAATTGATCTAGTCTAGCTGCATATTCTTTATATAGCTAATCAATAAAATGTGGCCAAAATTAGAGAATATTGGCCGCTATGTGGCTAATATAGCAATAAAACTGTAATTTCTATCCAGATACAGTTGGTATGACAGTCTGTTTACCATTTGGCAATCAACAATAAATGTTTTTGTAAGCTTTATAGTATGACAATACCAGAGATTGTTAAGGCAGTTCCGAAGGCAAATCATAGATAGATATTGCATACTTATTACCAACATCTACATACTTTAACACATGGGCATACAGAGTTCCATCTTAAATATTTAGGCTCACTGTTATGGCTTGAAAGTGCATTGCCTGTCTGAGACATTTCTTGACACATTTAATAAATTAATGTTAAGTCCTGGCTTTTTTAAGGTTAGTCCCTGTGTTGGTCTGATCCGCAGGTCGCTTCTTTCCTGAGCTTGATGTGTCTTTGAGACTGACTGATGATTCACATTGTAGCAGAATCCCCTGAAGAAATGAGTAAGAATACAAAAAATATATGATTAATTTTATCATGATATTAAATAGCCTCTGTGCTATTTTTGTATTATAGCCTCTGTGGACAGCTGAGACAAGCTTACGGTAACAGCCAGTAAACTGTCTCTAGATAAATTTAAATAAACGCAAGATAATGTCATACCTCTTCCTCTAAATTAGCTTCACTTCTTTCGTGACTATATGAGCATTGTGGACTCTGCTCTGAGTTTCCACCTGTAAAAAGCACCACCTCAAATATAAACTGTCCTGAGCATTGCAATAACAGACACAAAGTCTGTATATAGCACCATAAAACACAAACCCAATAAGTATTTAGAATCAGAGCTCTTTCTTACATGCTATGAGTCAAGTGTCTCATTACCCAATCAATGTCAATATCTGCTGTTTTACATCAACAAAGCTTCTTACAGTGCTTTGGAAAGTCCCGCAGCTGGATATTTAACCACACATTGCGTCTCTGAGCCCATCCACCCGGGGCTTCCACCTCATAGAGACGGTCTCTTTCTTCTTCGTGGATCTCAAGAAACTTATTGCAAACTGTAAACAATTATTTAAACAAGTTGTGTAAGCTTGGTCATATCTGGTGCTCACATTTGGCTGGGGAACTAAACTGGTTACTCGGTACATCCTCCCAAGACAAAATGACCCACCCCCATATTTTTATGATAATCTACAGCCAAACTATTGTCTTTGGTTTGACTGACCTCTAGTATTCTCTCATGAGATACACTACCATTTAAAAATTTGGGGTCAGTAGGATTTTTGAAAAGAAATTCAACAAGGATGCAATTAATTGATCAATAGTGAAAGTAAAGACATCTATTAAAGACGTTACAATAGATTTCTATTTCAAATTTCTTTTGAACTTTTTATTCATCAAAGTATCCACAAAATATTTAGAAGCACAACGGTTTTCAACGTGGAGAATAAAAAATGTTTCTTGAGCACTAAATCAGCATATAATGATTTCTGAAAGATCATGTGACACTGAAGACTGGATTAATGGCTGCTGAAAAGGTAGCTATCCCATCACAGGGATAAATTACTTTAATATAAATTATACTTTACATGCGATATTAATGTTTTTGCTGTATTTCTGATCAAATAAATGCAGCTTTAGTGAGTACGAGACTTGTTTCAAAAATCGACCCCAAACTTTTGAACAGTAGTGTAAATAAGTTTTAATTTTTAAAGTTGCGCATTTTATATTTTTATCCTTTACATGTAAATAACACAGTTAAAAAAATTAAAAGTGAAAAGATATTACAAAATGATCAACAAATAATCAATCAACCATACCTGGATAGCACACGTACATCACGGAGACGTCTATTTGACGTCTGCATTTACATCTGCAAGACGTATTTTTTTAGAGTGTTTGCTCATCTGCAGTACGTCTATAGGACGTTTCCTATCAGATGTCAAATAATAGACGTTTAGAAAATGTCTTTAAGATGTTTATGTTTAAGAATGTATGTAAAACTGACATCTTAGACACGTCTGTCACAGCAGATGCTTTCCATATGAAGCAATCTTTAACAGACATCTTGCAGACGTACTGTACGTGTGTTATCTGGGTAAAAACAATTGTTTTAATATGATTATGCTATGTTTCCCAACCCAAAACCTTCGGACATTACTGTAAACATGCCTCCATACATGCCAGGAGACATAGGAAAGCTAATTCCCAGAATCGCCTCAGAGGGTTGAGACGAGCAGAAATCCTCCAGCATCCGTAAAGCGAGTCCAGTCCTTCTCCAGTGAGAGCGAACAAACACTGAGTCCAGCACAGGGAGCTGATAACTCTGGCCAGTGCAGCTGTCACACAGGCTGCATATGAAAAAACAAACTTTTTTATAGTAGTAAATATATGATAGAAAAGCATGATAGAATAGCCCACCTGACACTGGACAGGTATTCGTCATATCCTTTGCTCAACTCGCCATAATGCCGCACAGGTAGATCCACTGGATAGGGTTTCACTTGAAAGACGACATTTGACATGTTTACGCAGTTAATAACAAGGAGTTTTAATTTCACAATAGCACTATGGCACACTTTTCAGCAATGCTAAATGACTTAATTACTAGCAGCACTTTACTGAATGTGGCTGAACTGCGCTTATGTGACTATTGACAGTCTGCCGTGGATAGCGCTTAGAGCATGTTTGCATGCAAAGCAACCTTTTAAAACTCTTTTTAAAATAATCAATTATGGGAATGCTCACATTATTCGTTTTGGGAATACTAGGAAGTCTGGCCTTACGTTTTAAAACTATTCTCCAGTTTAGAGTTGGATTCCATTTTGATAGTCGTTCGACCTTTGAATGTTTCTCGGCAAAAGCGCGCCATCTAGTGACTATAAAGTATGAAGAAGAGAAATTAATTCATAAATATTTTTAACAGTCCAGATATCTTCAGGTCTTCGTTGGTAAATAGACTGAGCAGAAACCCCCTGTTACATAATGTATATAATTCAGTGTTGCATTTTAGCCTGGCATAATTTAACTTGCGAATAGTATCACATGAATCATCATCACCAAGATTTATTTCGGTCCTCACATACAATTTTTTTATAATAAATATACATATTAAACAAAATCCTTAGCTTGTTAAACCTACTTTTTCCATTATAATTCTAATAAGTGTCACCTTCAATGCTTTAATATACTTGTTTCAAGTATTACGAATGATTCATTTTTGAGTTATAGCCTATTTGTTTATCATTTGGAAAGTAAACTACATCTTAATTCCTTTCAGGGTTTTTTTTTTTTTTTTTTTTTTTTGCTATGATGCTTAAGACACAGTCAGACGCATACAGAGTCGTGTTAATCAAAAGGGTATTCATTGTATATAAATCTATTAAAATAATTTTAAATGAATCTTTAAAGGTCTCCTCTGGGATGGTTATTAGTAATAACAAGTGTGCCCTTTCTCTTGGTCACCTCTCTTTCTGCAAACAAATTAAGCATGAAAAAAAAAAAAAACATTCAGCAACAACATCAGACAAATGTGAGACACAAGAATAAAAAAATAAAAACACACACACCGAAGGCTTTTTGAATAAACATGTTTTGAGGCTCATTCTTTCCCTGCAAAATCATGTGCGATACAAGTGCACTGTTTTGTACGGAGTTCCTTTTTGACCTTGTTTTACTCTACGTACATACGTAGACAAACTACAGTACACTCTACATCTCGCCTGCTATGGAAAATGCATTTTGCATCCGTTTTATTCCCGTCTCCCTTCATCTCCATTACCCATAAACCACGACTTCCCACTGAGAAATTGCAGACATTTCTGAAATTCCTTTCACTAGGAAAGGCTAGCATAGATCGTTAAATATGCTTTTGTAAAGCTGAGAGTTTAACCTCAAATAGGATTGACTCAGGGGCGTAGCCATCATTTCAGAAGTGAGGTGGACAGAAATGTTATATATATATATATATATATATATTTAAAAAAAAAAAAAAAAAAAAAAATTTAAAAAAATTTCTCTCTCTTTATTTATTCCTTCTCTTTCTAGCTTGTACTTATTTGAACAATGTCTAGAAACTTGGTATTACAAGCACTTCCTGTATCTGTTTGCCTCTTTAAGAAGAATCGCTTTATGT